CTCGAAGATTTGTAGCATTTTCAAAGATGCTTGACAGCAAGTCAGTAACCTGGCCGACATCCGTACTTGTCTCTTGTTCAATTCTTGTGTTTATCCATTCCAGATCTCGCTGCGCCTCTTGTACTTCTTCATCCGTACAAGCTACGTTTCTCTCGCGCAGATTCTCAACGCGTTGGCGATAATTCTCCGTATCACGCCTCAATTCGTCCTTGTCGAATCCAGACCATTTCTTTCTTGTCTGGACAGTAGCTTCGGCTGGCTGGCTATCAAAGAGCGTTGCAACCACAGTGAGCTCTCGGAGCACGGGTCCCAGTTGGGGATGGTAAGCTCTATCTCGGAGAGAGTGCAAGCTGTCAAGAGATAGATCGGTCTTGGCGGATCTGAAGAAACGAGAGTGGATGGTGTTGGTGGACAGCTGGCGTGAAGTGAGACGTAAGTGGGTGAATGATGCAAGATCGAGATGTTGGAGGATGATGTCAAGAGGAATTCCAGAGAGGCGGCTTAATCGATCAGATGGCGTCTGCGCCAATGATTCAAGACAATTCATACTGACAACGCGTCGTGATTGTTTACGAGATATTAGTCCGTCCAGGGATGGGTACAGAGGAATCGCACGGTGGAGTCCCGGACCGCTGTCAAACACTGGCGATTGATGATGATTACTACTTAGTACGAAGGATTACGGACAACTAATTATCGCAAGTAAGTATTTTACGGATGCTGGGGCTGGAATGCCATGCTTCTCAGCCGCATTTCATTGCCAAGAATACCTTAGCCTGCGAGCTCTCCAGATAAGATAACATGGCGAGATAAGATAACAAGCGAGGCAACCTACCTGTCAAGGCCTCGCAAGAACTACAGTTTACGAACAGTTCACCAGAAAAAAAGAAATATGGTTCGCAAGGAACTCCCAAGACTATTTATCTTACGTCAATTGACGATACTCGTGCCGCAAGACCCGTGATACAAGACTTGGCGGGGTTTTGTTTCAGGATAGTCAAGATGAGACCTTGACAGATAACCCAAAACGCTGGTGAAGGCGCCAACTCATCCCAAGTTCGTATAACATCAGTCACTTCTCCTCAATCTCGTACATAAAATCTGGTAACAAGGCTGAAACCGAGAAACGGGGTCTCCAAGGCCGGGACCAAGGCCTTCCGCTGCAGGGAAACATCGGCCAGGAGGTCGCCAAGCCCGCCAATGCGACGGTTTCAAACAGGGGTTCAAGACTCTATGTAAGGTTATCTGACTTAACGTTATGCCTCTTAAGCTTAACCCAACTCTATTGTGCTTTGATATCAGCAGGGGAGAGCAGCTGAATCAATGCCGAGACAAGTGCACATCGCCAAGATGCCTCCTCCAAACACGACTCCCTGCGGCGAGCCAACTTTCCGAGCTGGGAACGAAGGCGCGAGAAAAACAAAAATCATGACATTTTGGGGCGGATTCAACACCGGCCGAAGGGTAGCCACGTCTCATGTTCCCTGGATGGAGTGCGACGCCAAAACATCATGGCCAAGACGAAGAAAAACCTCGCCTTTTCCCGCGCTTTTAGCCTTTTTCATCCCTCTCCCTCTCTCTTTACACATTCTTTCTTTTCGCTCTATTTCCGCCTGGAGCGTGTTTTGTGATCGTCACTTCCCATTCGATTCTTTTTTGTCGTTTGTTTCTTCTTAATTTATTAACCTGCCGTTCATTTATCATATCAACCACGCGATCTGGTATCGCCGAGTCGACTTTCCTTCCTAATCGCTTATCCTTAATACTGCTTGTCCAGGGTTGAAGTGGCCTGCCATGCACTTTTCAACAATCATTTCTGCTTCCGCCTTTGCTGGTCTGGCGACTGCTTCTCCGTCGTTCTTTCGAAGAAATCCTCCTGCCGAGGAGGCTGCGCCTGTGGCATGCGAGCCGGTCACTGTTCATGAGACGGTCCATGAGACGGTGCACGTGACGATACCTGGGGAGGTTGTTCATGAGACTGTCCACGAGACTGTTCATGTGACCGAGGTTGTGCACCAGACCGAGACGGTGCATGCGACTGTAACGGAGGTTCAGCATGTTCCAGTTGAGAAACCAGTTACAGTTATCGAGACTTCGATCGTCCACCAAGAAGTCGAGAAGCCCGTTACGGTCATCGAGACAGTTCACCAAACGATCGAGCAACCCGTTACTGTGGTTGAGACTTCTGTTGTTCACCAAACAGTTGAGCTGCCTGTTACAGTCATTCACACCCAGCCCGTCGAAGTCGAGGTCGAAAAGCCAGTCACAGTTGTCGAGACTGTCCACCAAACGATTGAACAACCCGTTACAGTTGTCGAGACATCAGTCGTACACCAAACCATCGAGCAGCCCGTTACAGTCATCCATACCCAACCAGTCGAAGTGGAGAAGCCTGTTACAGTGGTTGAGACCTCAGTTGTTCATCAGACCATTGAGCAGCCAGTCACTGTCGTTCATACTGTACCAGTCGAGGTTGAGAAACCTGTAACAGTAGTTGAGACTTCTGTCGTGCACCAGACAGTTGAACAGCCTGTTACCGTCATCCATACACAGCCAGTCGAGGTCGAGAAGCTCGTCACAGTTATCCACACTCAGCCAGTCGAGGTCCCAGTCCAGGTACCAGTCACAGTTATTCACACCCAACCTGTTGAGGTACCCGTTGAGAAGCCCGTGACTGTCATCCATACATCCGTGGTTGAGAACACAGTTGTCCATACTTCAGTAGTCGAAGTCGAAAAGCCCGTCAACGTTGAGGTACCCGTCACAGTGGTGCACACTCAAGTCGTCGAGAAGCCTGTTCAGCAGATACACACTGTTGAAGTTGAGAAGCCTGTTGAGGTTGTTCACACTGTCGAGGTCGAGAAGCCAGTGCATGTTACTGTCATCCAGACAGTTACTGAACACGTCGCTGCTCAACCTACCTCTCATCCCGTCGAAGCTCCCCAAGAACATCCCGTCGTGGTTATTGAACAGCCCGAGCATGAGGCACCAGCCCATGAGGCACCACCGCACGAGACAGTTGTCGTGGAGGTGCCTGAACACACACCAGCAGAAGAGGTTGCAGCGCCTCACGAGACCGTTGTAGCTGAGCATCCCGCCGCGCCTCCAGCTCACGAAACACCAGTTGCCGTCGAACATCCAGCTGCCCCAGCAGCACCAGCTCATGAGACGCCCGTTGTCGTAGAGCACCCAGCAGCACCAGTTGCGACAATGGGCCACGAAGCACCCGCGGCCGAACATCCCGCTGCTCCAATAGCGACTATGGCGCACGAGGCTCCTGCAGCTGAGCATCCCGCTGCACCTCAGCCAGCTGAACCCCATGAAGGCGCAGGCGAGATGCCCATCGCTGAAGCGGAAGCCCTACAGCATCCCGACATCCCTGTTCTTCTACCCTCTGGTGGGGTGTCGGGTAAGAACGTAACAGTGGTGCCAACATATCCTGGACGTCGCGCTATTGTTCGCAGATGGTGATTTAACTAGATTGCTGTACGAGTAAATACACTCATGATACCTTAGAATGGAAGGGCTTGGAAAGGATAGCACAGGCACAATAATAATGATCTGGACATGGTTGGCCTGGGATAAGTCTTGGATAGGATAAATGACTACAAATTGAAATAAAGCTTCTGAGTCTTATTGTTCCGTACCCAGTCATTAATGTGACTAGGCTTTGTGCAACTGGATATCTACGTACTTTATGAGTGCCTGAGCTTTAGGCAGACTTATCTTTCCCCATGCTGTTGCCGCCCCGATCCACAAGTTCCATGATTGCTAGAAATGGGATCATTCATGTCGAGAATCCTACAGGCAAATGATATGCCCCCCATCTGTCCAACGCTTTAGACAACTTTTGAGACGTATCATGCGCATTCGTAACCTGAAAGATATGGTTTTCTACCAACCTCAGCACGGTTTTTTTCGCTTCCTCCAATTTATCCTTCGGAACCTTTCCAAGTTCGTCGAATCAGGTGTCTCATTAGAAGTGCCAAGTGAATCGCCATAAAAGCTGCAATTCACATTTAGTTCAAGATTGATGGCCTTGATGTCTGGACCACTACCTCTCCTGATGGCCTGTAGTGTAACTTTCGTTGTCCGATCGATTTAGATGTTGCTTCCATTTTCACACTAGCGAGCGAGACATCGGTGATAAGGCCCTTGAGTTCATGTATCACATGACTATAGACGTCAGATATGATCTGGAAGGTTCCTGTGCCAGGGACTGGCCTGTTAATACTCTCCACGCCTTGCCACAAAGCCCAGATTTTCAGGATGAAGTTTTTTACACAACAAAGTCTTATACCTGTTACCTCCTTCACCAATAGAATTGATTGTCAATGGGAAGTCAGCGAGACTTGGATCAGATCGGCAAGGAATGTACTTCAACTATTGTAATGAAAAGCGAGAGCTTTATCTGCACCAATACATTCTCTGTGGACTGTACTTTGGAATTTAGCAGGCCGTATTGGTACAAACAATCATCAAACCCACGTCCAAGCTCCGGATCACAAGTCATGAGATATTTTGACCAAAGAAGTTATAGAGCTTGGACATCGGCAATAGGTTATAGCTAAAAGGACGAAATCTAACTGACAAGCCACTTGATTCAGTCTCATGTGAGATTATTTTCGGAACACTTGATCGCAATTATGCAGCTCTATACTATCTGTGGTCAAAGCTCGAAGTTGATGGAACTTCGTCAATGAAATAGGTGTGAAGATATGGAACTCCTACACCGAAGTCGTTCAGCTTGTTGTTGGAGCTATTAAATGGTTCAAAGGGACAGGTAGGAAATGGAAAGCTTTTCTGAGTGATAATGGAGGCGGATGTATCACATGACAGGTCAGCTGATGGGAGCTGAGAGGGTCTGTCGGCCGGACAAAGGTTCTAGCGTCCCGGTCCATCGCCCCGCCCAACTTTACGCGTCGAGTCGGCCTATTGTTCGAACTCCTGCGTATGCATCACCTCCCATCGCGATCTAGTCTCCCCGATCTTGACTACAGATGGATGTCGAAGAGTCGCAAGCTGCGCCGTCCGAGGACGTGCCGAATCTCTTCGCCGCCAAGCGCCCGGCTTCTGAAGAACTAGAGACCGCATCAAGTGCGAAAAGAATCAAGACCTCGAATGATGATGACTCCATGGAGACTGATGCGCGACCTCAGGATACAGTCGCGAGAATCCCTTTCCCGGACAAGGTTGGTTTAGCTAATGCCTGGATGGATGAATTGATGCCCTGACTCTTCAAAGCCCGCTGTTCTTGAGGAGCGAAACGGCGATATTGAATTTCGAGTTGTCAACAATGATGGCGCCAGAGAGAGCATGATTATCCTTACCGGCCTCAAATGTCTTTTCCAGAAGCAACTTCCGAAAATGCCAAAGGACTACATCGCACGCCTTGTTTACGATCGAAATCATCTGTCTATCGCAATTGTTAAGAAACCATTAGAGGTTATCGGCGGTATATCATTTCGAGAATTTCGAGCCCGCAGATTCGCCGAGATTGTCTTTTGTGCTGTCTCATCAGATCAACAAGTGAAAGGTTATGGCGCGCACCTTATGGCTCATTTAAAGGACTATGTTAAAGCCACTTCCCCGGTAATGCATTTCCTTACCTATGCTGATAACTATGCCACTGGATATTTCCAAAAGCAAGGTTTCACAAAAGAGATTACTCTCGAGAAGTCTATTTGGATGGGGTATATTAAAGATTATGAGGGAGGAACGCTGATGCAATGCTCTATGTTGCCTCGAATACGTTATCTCGAAGTTGGTCGCATGCTTCTTAAGCAGAAGGAGACAGTCCTCGCCAAGATTCGACCTCTAAGCAAGAGTCATGTCGTGCATCGGCCTCCACAACAATGGGCTAATGGTGTTATCACCCCAATCGACCCGCTTTCTATTCCTGCTATTCGGGCAACTGGCTGGTCCCCAGACATGGACGAGTTATCAAGGCAACCGCGCCACGGACCTCATTTCAACGAGATGAGGCGGTTTTTATATCAAGTTCAAAACCACAAACAAGCATGGCCTTTCCTCAACCCAGTCAATAAGGACGATGTTCCCGACTACTACAACGTCATTACATCACCAATGGACTTGTCGACGATGCTGGAAAGATTGGAGCATGATTATTATGCAACCCCAAAGGATCTTGTCAGTGATCTCAAGTTGATCTTCAGCAATTGTCGCAAATACAATGACGCAACGACTGTCTATTCCAAGTGTGCCACCAAATTGGAAAAGTACATGTGGGGCCTTGTCAAAGACATCCCTGAGTGGTATAACTTGTTGGAGGAGGAGGAAGAAGAGTAAAGAGAGTAAGGGTGATATCGGCACGAAACTGAGTCTCGTATTGAAGCAACGATACGTGATACTGGAGTTCGGGGAAATCATAAATGATAATGCGTCTTGATATCATGGGGCTGTATTTCATTAATAGCATAAAATAATTCTTTTGCTTCGCGGGATTTTCATTTATCGGATAGTCCTTATGAGTAGCACACTAGAGTTAAATTCCCGGCCACGATATCGTCTTATTTCACTTTGCGTTAATTTTATTACCGAATTTACCCAACTTCGCAATGCATTGGGAGTCACCAAATAATCGTCTGTACGGATTCCCCAAAGGGATCGGCCATATATATATTTATTATCGGTAATGACTGAAGGTATAGCTTTACCTCAATAAGGCGCTCGACCAACACAAAGAAATGAACGACTATAGCTAGTATATCCCGACAATCGCATCTTCGAAACAACTCCATTCTACAACACCAAGCGCACTCCCAAACACCAAGCGCACTCCCAAACACCGCCACGCTCCCCAACACCGATAACGCGTCCAAATGCTAAGCACACCATTCAGACCCATGCATTTAAGCCTGTAAGCAGGCGCCGACCACATGACTGTAAGATGCCAGAGACTGGCAACTTAGAGCTGGTCACAGGGCTGTCCCTCATACGTTAGCAGGAGGCTCTAGTCGTTATTCGACATGTACGAAAGTCGGCCGTAATGGGACAGTAGGTTGGAGAAGAGATAGGTGCAAGAACATCTTGACAGGGAAACTTACATGCTCTTAACAACAGTCTTGACCGTTCTCAGTCTGTCCACCACATTTCTTGCACGTATCTAATAAGGGAAAGAATTGAGTATTGGTCTTTCAGAATTTCGGCCTGATTTGTACTTACGGTTGGGGCAGAAATAAGGACCCTGTCGGGCATTTTCGCATCTGGTGATGAGACATTTGCCTAAAGTTATATCAGTAATGCTTCTGGTCAAGGCACTGACTCAATCTATGCAGCCGGGCCAAGCTGTGATGGGGAAGGTGACCCTGTGATCAGATAGAAGATGCAAACTTACAGTTATTGCAGAACGCGAAGGTTCCCTGAACAGCGTTGCCACAGACACCGCAAGCTTCAAGTTATGTGATTAGTAGCTTGAATCTCATTGGCTGCTGAAGTTGAACAAAACCTACCCATAGTGATGGATTGATACGTAAGACGGTTTAAAGGGCTTGAGTATTGACTGCAGTTATGATACAGCGAAGAAGAAGTATGGGATTGCTTGCAATGATGAGAAAGATGAAGAAGGATACCGACCCATGGTGGCACCAACCGGCCTATTTATAACCATAGTGAAGCAAATTAACTTGTTCAAGGACTAGATAGAATGAGAGAATTTCAGATATCCAACATCTGCAGATACGTGCCGCATTTCCAGAAGCTAGCCGACGAATGCGACCTGGTGTTGGAGCCGGGGCAAGGATCAAGGCTTTGCAATTGGTTATGAAGATCATGATCTTCCTGTACCACGACCTGTCCTGGCACGTATGTTGGACTACGTTCCCTGACCAGGGTGAACTATCCACATGATGACCCACAGGATCATACGGTCACGCTGCCCGGCCTGAAACAATTTCAACGACCAACAGTTGTTACAACTGATATAAAGATAGCGCTACGCTCTTTAGATAGAGAAGAGTGGAAGCTCAACTTCTCATTGGTGATGCCTGTGAGCGTGTTGGTGACAGGTTCTCAGAAAAGCGGAGGTCGTTAAACACTATTGCTCTGGAGCGCTAACTCGTTGTTAGTGATTGGATTGTTGGTTGCGAGACCTGGAGATGATAATTACGGTAGAAGGCTTAGTCGCATGGTTCTCCTCTAGCGCTAGCTAAAAGTCTCCACCCCCGTTGTTCCAGTTCTCGACTCAGCTAATCACCATTAATTATTTTCGCATTGCTTTCCGCATCTGAAGCTTTGATTGAATCTTTAGCTGCACGAGCAGAAACGCATGCAAGGCTTTTTTCATATCACCAACACGTCTCCAAACTCCCTCTGCAATGCTCGGGGTTCTTGCCATAGGAGGCAGGCGGAGTGCATTGAGATGTAGAACCAACACTATCCTAGATGCGTGACTCGTTTAATTGGTGTATGCAAGGCGGATTTAGGCAGGGGCCTTTATCCAGTTTTGTCTGATGGTTGGAGTTCAAAAGTCAGTCCGAGCAGAGTGAACATGCTAGCTTTGGCGTGATTCTCAATCAAGCTCGTAGACAGCGAACCCTTGTAATGTAGTACGGAAGCCAATCCCTGCAGGTTGTGAGCGCTTTGCGGGGAAAACTCTGCTGCCTTTGGGCCTGTAAATACTCAAGCAAAACAGACACAAGCGAATCACATGGAAATAGAAAAGCCCACCAACAGACGTGTTGGTGGAGCTCTGTCAGCACGAAGTAGGGCGTCAGAGCCTGGTAAGAAGGGTGTTCAAGGTAAGAGAAGAAGGACATCTACACGATTAGACTGGTAATAAGCAGCCATTATTGATTTAATCACCAGGCGTATGCTGACATATAGGTAAGGGAAGATTGGTTTGCCTACATCTTCTGCTTACATAAATGCAGCTTAAATAATAAAATAGCCTTTTACGGGGAAAATGCCAGTGCCCACGTGCCTAAAAACGATCATCCTTATATCGGAGGTTTAGCTGACAAGGATTGCGACTTAGCCGCCGTGAAAAGCTAAGAATGATAATGACATTAAGGAAAGCTGAAAGTCTATATTAATCTACCTGATGCTCGACGTAAGCATCAATGCCTTGAAGGTCCTTGATAATTATAGAACAGTCTTCTCTGACATCCCAGTCAGCATCTTTAGATAAATTGCATAACTTGAGCATGCCTAGCAGAGACTACTATGCCACTGCTGTTGCGATATAATCTCACGTTTGACCGCATTGTACGAATTTTGGAGTAGCAACCAATAAGACTCGTCAGACGGACGTCCCCCAGCCTTTCTCCAGTGGGCCTTAGTATCACTTTTGACCTCAAATGGCCAACTGCAGTGGGCAACGACTTCAAAGCCCTTACTCTCAACGCGGTATTCGATCACGCAAGCTACCGAGTCGTTTTTGTTAAAGACACACAGGGCCTTGAGCTTTGGCATAGTAGAGACCGCCCTTCCAAACCCGCCAAAGAGCTGATTCGATGTGTTGGGAACTTCGTCGAGTAGTGCCTGGGAAGTTCTTACGCAGACGTTTTGAACAGATTGCAAATATTTCCGCATGCTAAAGAACTTCGCAACGTCGACACTAATGTCCAAGTAGATATTGGCGAGAAATGGACATGACAGGATCAGACGTGGACCCAGACCTGGGAGTTGTTCAGACGGCCCAGGACTAACCGGCGGCTTTGAAATGGGCTGCTGTTGGATCCTGACCTTATCCATATCCGGAGACAAAGCGGATAGAAGTAATTGCAAATGACGGTGAAATTTATGCTCGGTTTCCCAATGTGCATGAGGCCTGACCTCCCATCGGAGTGTCCTTAGACGCGGAAGTAGGCTTGCAATGTGAGCGATAGATTCCGGATCAAAATGACGAACAGTTCGTCGAAGAATCGATAGGCTTGAGATGACCTGGACTTCAGGACCTAACTTTCCTCCGATAGGCACGTCTAGCTTAAGCCAAAAGTGAAAGTCCAACTCGGCATCGTGCAACACATTACGTCCGTGATACGGAGGCGCATGAAAGACCTGGAGCTCACTTGAGAGACTGTTATAAAACGCCCCGTTGCCAATGTCGCTAGGAGGATCGAGTGCCAGGTATTCTGCAGCAGTCTTCTGCCAGTGACTTTTGGCATCGGCAATGAGCTCTATCTCAATACCATCGTGATGGCAATCCTCTCTTTTCCACTGGAAAAGCTCCATGAATAGACCCCGCAAGATGATCGTGAAAGAGCGGTTATTTTCCTCCTCTTGATGTCTCAGCCATGGATGTTCGCGGTGTAACGTAGGGGCTTTCTGAGCAAGGGCTTTCATTTGCTGATTTATGTTGACAAATTCGTTTCGATGAAAGGACGGATCTCGAATGTGTTTGTGAAGCGGCAGATCGAGTCTCACGCCAATGTATTGGAGGTACTTTCGACGTCGGATCTTTAGGAACGTGTTGGCGAAGAGCATGATATTGGACGGTGAGACTTCCACGCGCTTGAATGTGAAGATCTCGAACCAGTCCTGCCATTCTCGAGATACGCGGGCATATCGTCCGATAGAGCCTTTCTCATGGATGGTGGAATTGGCGACGAAGTCGAGAATTTCCAGTCGAGCCTCTGCGTAGAGGCTGTTCCAGCGCATTTTGTCTCTTGCTGGGAAGTTCATTATCGTTGTTTGCAGTGCTCGGTGTGTTGAACTTGGATAGACGGTCGGGCCAGGTTGTTGCTGCACGTGACAAATTCTCTGAATGAAGCTCACCCAATGGAGAGAGTGTGAGGGGAAAAGATCACTTATATAGATCGTTCTTGCATATGCTTTCGAATTAGGGCATAGGTGAGGGCTCCATCACGATTCACTTTAATGCTTGATTGCTCATCCAAACTATAATCGGCATATAGTTTTTGTCTATGAGGGGTTGAGCCGGCCTGCATGGAAATAATGCTCGATAGGGTTTCAGGTTACATCTTATTTCCCTTAGGTATTTGGACGAGTCCCATATTAAATTGAATGCTTTCTGCTGAGAGGAATCTAATAACACTATGAGAAGTACTCCCGCGCGAGGATCTGCCAATGACTATGTTATTATTCAGCCGCAAAGGTCAAGACAGTATACCGAACCTATTTGAGACTCGCACTGGACGAGGGAGTAACTAATGTCTGTTTGCAAATGATAAGCTCTGAGCCACATGCTTCAGCCCAAAATGATAGGTGAAGCTCTTGATTTAGACGTTGTGTCACAACGCCTCACCAAGCTTGAGAAGCATGATCCAGATATCAACCAATGTGGCATTGCTTTCCACGCAAGATCCTTTCATCGCAACCCCGCATGCCCTGAAGCTTCTGATGGACCTCGAATATCCTCCAATGTCTCCTCCAATGGGGAGCTGTGGGCTAGATATCTTATTTGCTGTTGAGAGCTGTGGCTGAGAGCTCATACTCACAGCCGAAGAACTTAGGTCCCCTAAAGGAGAAGGTAGGTAGAGGGATAACGCATATTCAGTTGTAGTCCAGAACTCATGTAGGCGGAAAGGGGGGGGGGGGGGTAGGGGAGATCTTTTATCACAATATGGTGCAAAAAGGGTTCAAAGTATACTTTATATTAGAATCATACCTTCAGCAACATGGTACTGTTGAAAATAGAACTAATAAGATAATGATAACTACTCAAACAAGAGAGTATAATCGCTTACCCACGGCTCAAAGAAAATATCATCATCGTCTAGCTCTTGTCCTGGCCCTTGACATAAAACCTCCTCACCTCCGGACTGGGATTCATCGTCTTCAATATCCTCCAATTTGCAATAATAGCAATCAGCAGCCCATTCCTCCTCTAGATCGTCAGGGTAGTAATGTATGCACTCATCCTCAATGCCATGTATCTCGTCGCAACAGAAACCTCGGCAATTCTTACAGCGATAGTCCCAATATTGCCAACAATCCATGCCATTTTCCAGAAAGTCCTCATCCTCTTCTGTCCAACCATAACGATTCTTTAACCAATCAACTGAAGCATAATGCGCATTCTCTAAAGCAACCCGCACTGCCGAGATAAATTGTTGATGTCCATAATTTGACCAGGCAGCACCCCTCTGAAGTAATAGCTCAAGCATATCAAGCCTTCCGTGTTCTGCTGCCCCTTCCAGAGCAGTTCTACCACTTTTCCGTGATCCCCTGGCATTAATACGGGCGCCATGGTCTATTAGTAGGTTCGCTATTCCCATATATCCGCCTATTGCTGCAAACTGCAGTGCAGTACCGCCTCCTGAGAATGATGGCGCAGAATTAACATCGGCCTGTTTTTTTATCAGGTAGTGCACCGCACCTAGGTCCCCTAGTTGAGCGGAAAGTTGTAGTGGAGATCGGCTTGAATCTATTGTGGCATTATAGTCGTTAACATCAGAGCCTGCGCCCACTAATCGTTTGAGTAACTCAATATTGCCATTTGCAATCGGGCCTAGTAATATTGAGCATAAGGTCGGCTGTGAGAGGAATAGGGTATCAAGCTGTTGACTGTGTTTTCTCAAGAGGTCGAGATATGCAGATGCCGATTCTTTCTGCACTATGACGGTAAAGGTGGTCTTGTCTGCACAACAACCATGTGCCAGAAGCTCTCCAAAACCTGACGTATCTGCTCCTAGCGCTGCCAATGCCAGGGGACTAGCTACCCCTCGCAATCCGAAGACTGGGTCCTTCCGCCAGAAGTCATTTGTATCATAAATCCATGGACGATCATTAAATGTTAGGAATTGGTCATCGCTTGAACGCAGTACTAATTGACCGTCCTTGATGTGGAATGGGATGAAACCGGACTGGATTGCGGATGGATGATGAAATCGACTCAAAAGCTTCTCCAAGACTTCCATCTGTCCAGCCCTAGCAGCTAGACCAATAGCTGTGCCCTCTAGCAAGTGGCAATTTGTTTCCTTGTGAGGTTGGGCAAGAAGCAGATCAAGTAGTTTCCAGTCTTCGACTTGTATGGCGGCGCAGATTGGCCCAGCATCAATAGGACTGTCTTGTGCTTCAAGTAGTGCCTGAAGAAAGTCTCGTTCGTCGGAGTCACTATCAAACAAGCTTGCTGCGCAAGTTGGACAAGCTATAGTAGGATCATCTTGGACTCCAAATCGAACGTTCTCATCATCTCTCATTGTTCCTCTGTTGCGAAATGGGTAGTGGTCGTGAAAATAATGACTGTCAGCTCCCATGAATCTAATATTATTAGAGTTCATGATTAGAGCCTCGAGGCACGAGGCTCCCCTCTCGTTGATATCCTTCAAGGTACCGCCATGTTCGAGAAGAAGCTTTGTGACATTATAATCACTTTCTCGAATGGCATTCACAATTTCACCAGCTTGCTCAGCCCCTGCTTCTAGGAGTAACTTGATGATTCTGTATCGTTTGTTGACTTCGCAGCTTGTGTTAGAATGCCTTGACCTGCTGATTCGAAGATACCTGTAGGGGTACAAGGCACATTGAATTGCGGTTCGGCCATATTCGTCTCGGTCGTTCGGGCTAGCCCCCCTGGCAAGTGCAGCTTGTAATGGCTCTTGAAAGCCAATTTCTGCCAGCCCCGCTATCTCACCACCCAGAAATAGGGCTCCTCCCTCGATCAAAAGAACCAAGCAATTTGCTTTCGACGCATTCCAGCACTTGAAGTGGAATTCGAGAAGAGTTTGAAGGATTGAGCCACAATCCTTAGGCATAGGCGGTGAAGAAGTGAAATACTCTAACCACTGCACATCACCTTTGCTGACCATCTCGTCGGGTGAAAGACCATGCTGGAGGAGTAATCTCACCATATCCTCATAGCCATAATGGGCTGCTATCAGTAACAGATCAGGCGATGTACAATCATTGCGCTCGAGGAGCATCTGAGCTACCGGTACGTTATTATACGCCACTGCAGCCCTCAAGCAAGTAATACCATTCCACTTGCAAGTAAGGCCAGAGGGAGAAAACTCTTGGAGTTGACCGATAATTTGACAATCTCCTCTGATAGCGGCTGCAATAAAATCTTGTCTTGTGAGTACTTGTGACGGATTATTTTGTACTGAATGGTGATTGAGTAATTTATCGGTCCAATAGAAGTTTCCCCCTAAGGATGCGGTAAGAGGGGATTCATAGCTCAAACAGCTGTCTTTATCCATTAGTCCATCTCTTAGACCGTGCCCCATTTCGATGTGAATCTTTGTGACATTAATGTCTTCTTGCAAAATCCCTTCGATGAGCTCCATATCGTCAAGTTTGAGCGCTCCGCAAAGGACTTCCTCCAGACTAACAGCTTTGTACTCCTTTAACAATTTGAGGAGCCGTGACTGAACAGCGTTGGATAGACGTCCGCGTAAAATGGCCTGGATGGCGTGGTGAACGTCGAAGCATGCCTGGGTATGGTCGATGCGGACGTTGAAGGAGAGAAGTAATTTAGTCAGGTTGATATGGCCTATGTTGAGAGCCCGCCCAATCGGTGAAGAAAACCTGACATTATGTCCTGCGACACAGTAATTTGGATCTAGACCTGACTCTGACAGCATCTTAATTATATCCAAAGACCATTCAGGGAGATAGTCCTTATGGTGATTAGCAGGGTCGTCAATCTGAGTTGCCCAGTAAATCTCCATCTGGAAGACTTTCTCCAAGAATGCTCTAATAGTGATGCTGTGATTCTGAAGGTGCCGTAATTTTGGCTTAAGGTCTGACATATTCTCTCTCAGAATAGAACTGAATATGCCCCACTGCTTTCTGTCAAGAAATCTCGTTCCATTTGACAATGCATACATCATGAGCTTGATGTATTCAGGTAAGATTTCGGTTGCTTGATTGCCTAGAAGGATACTGGCAGTATGCGTAGGTTCTCCAAGGTACCATTCTGGTATTGAAGCACCTATACTGACTGCTAGTTCCTGGAAGGAACAATGTAGCCTGCTTGTCCGAGACTGGCTTAAAGCTTGTAGCATCATCGAAAGAAGTACATTTGTATCCGGAGTTCGATAGACCCTGACGGCACTAGGGCTCACAAAACTGGTTGTGGCTGAAAGAAGGTTATTGGATAGGTATCAGAATCGAACTACGATGACTTACTATCCCAAAGAAGATCTCGAAGCATAAGCCATGGAATGCTGGGCGGCCAAACAGTGTCTTGCTTGATAGGCAACGGACTGCAAACGACGAGCTTTGGGTTGATTGGGCTCGGAGATCGTGGTCCTGTTTATTGTTAGGCTGAAATTTGACAGCGGAACACAACTTACGAAGGGCGAGTTCATGGTAGAAGCTCTCACAATGGCGTGCAGTTTCCTTAGTTACCCTAGAATGCTTAATTCGGTTGCCATTATATATCACTTCACTCTTCTTCCCGACGTCACTTCGCCTTTTCATCTTTCTTGCAACAGATCTCCAAATTTGTTGGTCAAGATTCTTCGAAAACTGCCATAGCTTGAGCCGGTATTCTAGCTGTGACTTTCTGCATTAAAATTAGCAAGTGATTATGACAGTTAACGGGGAGAAGCTGACGTTGTAGCAAGACCTCGGCCTGCCAATCGAACAAGTAGGTCTGTGAGAGATGTATTTCTCACAAGATACTCGTATCTAATGAAGTCCTTCTGTTGCAGCCATTGTTCGTTGTTTATTTGGGGCCGAGCGGTGGGCATAATGAAGATGAGCAAGTGATGCAATCCTTCGTTGTCTCGTTATAAGGTAGAGGGAGTAAGTCAGCTGCTCTAGTAAAAGACGAGTAAATGTAGATTGAAGCCAACTCAGTAACAGTTATGGCTGCCGGGATGAACTTAAATTGAGCTCTGTAGGACTTGAAAATGCTTTTTGTAATTGCTAAAGTGGCTTAACTTGTCAGCATTATAGTAAGGGCGAGAGGTGTGTGTTAGCTTGTGGCCAGTTAGGTACTTTATCAGTAAGCCTCCCTCCCGTTGGCCATGTAGTGGTAGGTTATAATTGGCTGGTGCCAGAATCTGAAAAGCATGCACCTGAGTGGAGTTAGCAGGCCTCATTTCAGCGTCAGCCTCATGTAATTAGCTATATCTATCGGCGACCCTATGGCTGGGCGTATGCATGTAATCATCCTGCTGTGCCCCAAATGGTCAGGTCTCACCAATAACGGAGCGAGTGGCCCTGATGGTGAGTCCGATAGAGTATCTTTGTGGCGCATAAAAACGAAAGGCTCTGTCACCCAATTTGCCCCATTCAAGTTGCAAGCCAGTAAACTTATGGGGTCACAATCTGGCGTTGGGTCCCTCACTCTCCATCATGGCTGATTCGCTGACATAAATGTCGAAACGAATTAGTGACAAAAACAAAAGACCGTCAACACCTAGCCGTATAAGTAATGGATTGTGGGGAGAGCCTAATTTAATAGTCCGTATTATTAAGACTATAGTTCAAAGAGCCCACCCAGATTACCGCAGCAAGAAGTTGCTCCAAGGAAAACTGGATCGCCATGTAGTTTAGCTTTTGATGGGCCGAGCTGATCTGTCACGAAAAGATAATTGACAAGGTTCCAGGACATGCGTTGTTCCCCTGTAGCCTTGAGACAGATTCTACCTGTTTGTTGGTCTTCATGGAAATGGATTCGACGATGGCCTCAAGAACTTCGTTCACATGAGATTTAGGCCCTTTTGTCTGCTTATTCGCAATGGTCAAGTCAACGTATCGAAACTACTCAAGCCTGCTTCACTGAAGGAGGTTTAGAACAGGTAGGGAGGTAAGTTTGATCTTATAAACCTTCAATTAATAGCATATAATATTGCATTCTTTCTTATACGATCAGCCACTATTGCAACTCCCCCGCCCACCATTGAATTCTGAAACATAGTATGATACCCTCTTTATCGACCAGGCCGCGTATGCTGAAGAGGGGGGGCAGCCCGATGGTGGCAGATTTTGACTCAGACTCTTGACATCTATGGCGCCTCTCGGCGGTCAATTTTGAGAGGGTAGAGTATAATGGTCGACATAAAAACATTGCAAGAAAATGAGATGCCTGTACTAAGTTGTGTCTGACGAACATAAGCTTCAGGCCTAGGCCTCAGCTACGAATGACACATCTAGCTGACAACCTAGACGTTGCGCCACGGTTCCTGACCAATCCCAATTGTATAAACACGTATAATGTGAAAAACAGTTGAGCCTTGTGGCTGAGGGCTTGAATCAGCAGAGAGAACTTGGTTAAATACACGTAATTGGGATTCACAAGCCCAAATTTGCCACTGGCAATATCTGCTGGAATACCCACCACGTTTCCGAACATCCCTCAAGATATAATACCGCCGCGTCATTAGTTATGCACTGATATAGTAATTATTAACTTAAGTATCACGAACCTCGGAGATTATGCTAGATAATAGCATTACCCTATTCCTCCACCATTTCGGAAATGCATAGCCCGCAGTATCCGACGGCCGCTGAACCCCCATCTTTTTTTCCGATCTCTTAAAAAAAAAAAGATCTGACCTGCGGCGTTCGCGGCCCGCAAAACGACCTGAACCTTAAGACGGTATTGGCCGCAAGCATGGAAAGCTCAATTGTATTCGGCCGCGAAGGTGCCATTTCAACATCAAATAGGCATTTGCGGCGTGGGATGCGCGGATAATCAATTTAAAATATTGACATGTATGATGACTTTGAAGTATGCTCTGTAAGGTGCAGATAGACCCTGGACAGACCGCCAGGATTAGCGCGCAAAGGTCAAAGTTTGCCTGGGACATGAAATGTTGCCGCGAATCTCGGGAATAGGAATACTGTAATTGGTTCTGCTCAATTGACCCTGGGGCGGTGAGGGTCGGTCAGCCCAAGGTGAACCCAAATCGTTCCATTACTTCCGCCCATTTCTCTTAGGCGAGAAATGACCGGAGCCCGCCGGGACGGTACCCAAAGATTAGGTTCCAAATAGAGCAGTGGGGACTCCTGCGGCTCTGCCCCATTCCAGCGCATAATTTCGGTACACTACAGGGGTCTAAACTATTCTGCAAGTCAGGCCACTGAGCAGAGCTAAGAAAGTGGATGAGGGCCTGGTAATTGCCAGTGTGATAGGACCGGATAGCCAATGCTATACCGCTGTAGTCTTAGCACCCACTGCCGAGAAGTCAATAGCCCTGAAACAGCAGGATTTTCTATGCCCAACATGCTCTGACAGTGGAGAGACTCGCCGAGATCGCCGGGCCTAGCAGTGAGTCTTTTTCTCTGCTAGGGCTTGGTTCCTAGAAGACAGCGACGAAACCATCTCACCATCAGTTCAATGGTCTATGATTTCATGCTGATAAGAATCCATAACTCTCCTGACTTGGCATGATAGGGCAGGGCATAGACGGACTTGAGTCTGCGATAAGCTTGCATTGTGTTTATCAGCTCTAAATAAAAGGCTCGACTTACCTCAGTCTTCTATCAAGTCCCAAGACAATCTTCAATTTTATACTACTACAACTTTACGCTACATCAATTCATCATGAGCAACCCACTAGTGGTTAGCATCTCCAACCTGGCGGCCTACACGCCCCAAGAAACAATCGAGCTTGTTTCCCGCTCTGGCGTCAAGAGAGGTAACATGCGTCCTGACAAGGTCTTCCTCTCCGCCGTCTCCGCGGGATGTCTCCTTGGCTTTGGCTGTGGCGTCTCGCTATGTGCCATGACAGCACCCTGGTATTCTGAGAACGCGCCCGGCCTGGTAAAGCTCTTTGGCGCTGGTGTTTTCCCTCTGGGTCTAGTGCTTGTTGTGCTTACGGGCGCGGATTTGTTCACTGCTACTACTATGGTAAGCTAATTTCATGGCTTATTGTTACACTGTGGCTGATGGGGTTTTAGTTTACTTTGACTGCTGTTCTGCAAGGTCGGCTTCCGATACGAAAGATGCTGCTGCATTGGTTCCTTTGCTTTTTCGGCAATCTTGCAGGATCGCTATTTGTCATGTCTATCATTATGGGATGTAAGTCATCGAACCCACAATGTTAAGTTCATAATTGACGTTTTATTTAGATGGCGGTGTCTTTGATGCGTCCCCGTATAAAGAAGTTGCCATGTCGTTCGCCAGCAAGAAACAAATATCGCCTCAAGTTCACCAGGTCTTCCTGAAAGCCATCGGGTGCAACTGGCTCGTATGCCTCGCCGTCTTCCTCGGCATCCAAGCCAAGGATCTCGCCTCAAAGGTCATCGGTATGTGGTGGCCCATCTTCGCCTTTGTCGTCCTCGGCCTCGAGCACGTTGTCGCCAACATGTTTTACATGTCTCTTGCCATTTGGCTCAAGACACCTGATCTTACCGTCGGTCTGTACATTTGGAAAGGCATGATCCCAGCTACGATTGGCAACATTATTGGCGGTAGCATGTTTGTCGGCGTGTATTACTGGTACATGTACCTGTTTGACGAGGATCCTGTCAAGGTTGATGGTGTTGAGTACCAGGGCCCCCACGTGGACTCTCACATGCACATGCATTTCCTTGCCAACAGGAATAAGAGTACCGTCACCGACGAGGAGAGTAGAATCGAGTCAGTGCCTGTTTCAGTGCCGGCCAGCGTTCTTGCGAAGTAGGGCATTCATGGGTGGAATGAGAGATACGAAATTGTTACGATTCTTAGACTTAGAGTATCGCTACTTAATTAGACATGAACTTATACCATTGACAAATCCTTTTACCACAAGCCTGTCTCTAAGTGATTAAACCCAATGGGGATTCCTAATTCTTGTGTTGCATGGGTCAGGAAGCTCTGGGCGCGGGAGTGGTGGGTTCACTAGCCAAGGATATCGCACCAGTACAGAGTACATCTTCCATTATTCCCAGGACTCATCGCTAGAACCTTGCAGCTAGCGGACATGCCCGGTGACCCTTCGCGATATTGCTTCGCCCGATAACATGGCATGGTACATGTCTCGGTGAGAGGCAAAGCCACGCTGGCGTACATTTCAGCCAGCGCCTCAACTCAATAACGGCCCGATGAAATCAGCAGCTCTTGAAGTCTTCTACGAGGTTGAATCGAATGGTTTTACATCAGATCAGAACGAGCTGTCATGTCATGGCGTGGGTGACATTGTCAGGGACAGAGATTTGCATCTCCGCGGGGAGACCATATTTCTCCACAGCAGTCGAGACATCTCCACGGAGTCACCCCGCCAAGTCCTCCCCTGGCCCATTTAAATCTTCTGGAAGGATTACCTAGCGATTTGGTATTAAGACGGTCGGTAGAGCGCAGCAGTTGGTGTAGGGTTTCCGGGCCCCCGTGATCCTTGGATCTCGTATGCTGCACCTCGTAGACTTCATTCAAGATACGACGGATCATAGTCTATTAATGGCCGGGCCTTACTCTCAATTGCAATTATAATTGCTAGATTTGTTGTTGATGTGCAGTCAGACTCTTGATTTGGGTGTGAAACTACAGAACAATACTTAGACCTCAGTCACCTCATCCTCTCTGTTAGTCACTATAACCTCCTTCTGCCTCCATCGCTGCACCAGTGGTAGACCGACACCAGTCCACAGTGTCAAAGCCACAACCCAGGCTAGTGCACTGCCCCATCCATGCGTCTTTGCAAACTCGGGAGCCTCACCAGATGCCATCTGAATCTGTTGGAAGGGAATGACCACCGCAGATCCAACAGAAACCATGAAGCTTAGGACAAAAGCACGCTTCTGTTGGTCTCCACCACAAGCCTCGTTGGCCCATCCCGCAATTAGAGGTGTGAAGCATCCGTAGCAGCCGTGCATGATGAACGCCGCCATTCGAAGCTTGTGAGGAACGTCCCAAGCTGTGAGGATGGAGTAGTTGAGAATCATCCAGCATCCTACAACGCCACAGACCAGAGCACGCCCACCGAGCTTATCGGCGATATAGCCTGTTGATACCATAACGACAAAGTTGACGGCGCCGATAGAGGTCGGAATGTTATTGATCTTGGGTACCGTATACCAGCCGGTCTTCTTCAAGTAAATTCCGAAGTATTGCATCACGTAGCTGCTTTGCATTAGACGCAGAATATGCTAGGAACATATGAATCGGCTTACCTTCCACATGTCAAAGTCCAGAAAGAGTATGCTGCCGTGAATGAATAGACCTGCCATGATCCAAAGATTCGACGTATAACACTACAGTCCATCTTTCCCACAGGCTTGCGGCCCTCTTCCTCGATACGCTGGCGGGACCTTTCCCTTTCCCATTCATTAAAATAGAAGGCTCTTGTGGTATGTGGAGTATCAGGGAAAGTGATCTGAACATGTCAGCAAGAAATCGGCATGATAATAAGAAAAGAGAACTCACAAATCCATAGGCCGCAACTGGGATAGCAAGGATGAAATCGAAGACAAATAGCCATCGCCAAGCTGACATGCCGCCTTTGCCATGCATGCCAGTAAACAAAGCAGCTTGCAGGTATCCAGAGAACATCTGGCCAATAACACCGCTCATGACGAACAGCCCGCTTCGACGCGCTAACTCGCTCTTGCGATACCAGGAGCCTAAGCAGTACATGACACCAGGCCAAGCGGCAGACTCAAATACACCGATGAAGAACCGGAGTACATAGAATTGATAGGCGTGGTCGCATTTAAACAGAGCCAGGACGAAGACGGACCAGGTTATGAGGCAGCTTGAGAGCCAAATTCGAGGGCGCAAAACAGTGATGATCAAGTTGGACACGAGACCGCCAAGGATCGTTCCGATAGAGAAATAGGTGTTCATCCACGAGAGTTCGTTTCCAGGGCCAAAGCCGAGTTCATCCGCCATTCCTGACACATAAGCATTGGAAATATTGTTTTGATCGAGCTACCATAATCAGCACAGTGCATGGGCTGGAGAGATAAAACTTACCTGCTTGATGAAAAACATTAGACATGCGAAACTTAACATGAACCAATCAAGCTTGAAAATGAGCTTCTTTTCCTCCGGCGAAGTCCCAGGTTCATGCCAGCTGAACCATCTCCTGTTGTTCGCCAATGGAGCAATATCATTGTTCTTCAAGCTTGCAGGTGCAGGCCCAGAAGTGATGGAAGCACGATTCTTAGCATCGATAGCAGCGGTTGAGGGTTCTGTATTAATGGCGTTGTCGCCAACTGCCTGACTAGCCATTGCGATCATTTGCAGTGGAATGGTTGTGAACGCTGAAAGCGGACGCGAAATTGATATGGAAGAAACGCCAGTGGGAGCATCAATATTTCAGTGTTACATCCATGTGCGTCAAGCTTCATCAACCATACAATTTGCCATTAGATAGGCAATTGCGTGCTTCGGCGAACCCTGTGCTATTCGCGCAATGAGGCCGCAATCATTACTCAAATAGGCAAGTTTGTTCCCTGTCGGGATAATCCCGCCTGTTGAAGATCGGTGAACGAAACCAGCGGCTCAGGCTCAGATCATCCTTGGCGTCTTCGATCACCTTGACCTTGAGGGAAGCACTTCTGCTGGTTGATCTGTCCTGTGTTATTTGTGCCCTTGAATAACGCTTTACCGGGGGCAAAATGGTTGAGTTCATCACAGCAAATGGAGCCCAGCTCGCTTACGAGCTGAGTGGACCCGAAGATGCGCCGTTGATGATTACCCTTCATGGCGGAAGAGGAATGGGTAAGTTCCGATGACTTGGACCGAGACTACAAGTCTGATAATATTAGGTGATCATAGGTCCGACTACAAAGTATACAGTCGCCTCAACGATAGGATTCGGGTGCTTTCGTTTGACTTTCGGGGCCACGGCCAAAGCTCTCGTACTAAGCCCTATACATTTAATCAGATCGTCGATGATATCGAGGCTGTACGGCAGTATTTCTCAGGACCTGATGACAAAGTTATCATCTGTGGTGGAAGCTTTGGAGGGTTCCTGGCGCAGCAATACGCCATAACCTATCCTTCGAAAGTCTCGTACTTGATCCTGCGAGGGACTGCAGCCTCGCATCATCGTAGGTCTCATAAGTATCTAGTTTCATCCTCCTTTTCTTACAAGTCTTATAGATGAAGATGGTGCTATTAAGACCCTCGAAGCCAGGATCAGCAAAATACCCAGCTTTTCTAAGGAGATGCTGCGAGAAAAGGTCTTCGGTGCATATGACGACGACGAAGATTTTCGACTAGTCCATTTTGCAATGATGCCTTTGTATCGGGAAGATTACGATGCAAATGCTGGGCTCAAGGCTTGCCGAGATACAGTTTATGTCGCGGAGTCTCACAGTATGTCACATACGCCATGTTATCGGAGTATGACACTGACAGTATAGATGATCTTTATTCTGAGGACGAAAAGTATTTTGATTACGTCGATCAATTGGATAGCATTCAGGCAAAGACTTTAGTTATCGTTGGCGACCAGGACTGGATTTGTCCAGCGGGTTAGTCTGTCAGTTGACCTATTGGGTGCTCATATACTGACAGTCTTAGATAACTCGAGGTTAATTGCTGATCGGATCAGGAATGCGGAATTGCTCGTGGTTCCCGGCGCAAACCATAGCGTGCATATTGAAAAAACAGACTTGGTCATTTCCAGGATCAGGCAGTTTTTGGAATTATAGGTTTATTCTAATATGAAATAAGCTGTGATTATACACTATCTCGTGCGGCCTAGAGACTGATTCGATATTCACTGATATAGAGCTGCGTTATTTCTGATTCGGCGTAGCTAGATGAACTTCCTTATGCTGTTTAGTCTAGAATCAACCGTTTCCAGTATTAATAAGCATTGGTCATGATAAGACACGTTGCGAATGAAACCATCCATTAAGCGATGCTGGCAACGCGACAGGGAGAATGCCAAAGTGATCGGCGAAAGCCAGTTCGGAAGAGGAGCGATATGAAGAAAGTTTCTTCATACGGAAAAACAAGTCGGGGCCAGACCGATCATCGACGTAGATCACCATTGCGCCATATCGGAAATAATGGGCCTTCCTTAATCAAGCATGTTGTTTCAATCAACGATACAATACCAGCCTTAGAGGATATTATGTGCCTATGCGGTGCAGTTTGAGAAATTAAAGTCGGTAGAATGGGCGATATTCGTGTTTCAATCGATAGAGGCGGCACGTTCTGTGACGTTATCGCTACAGGTGCAGAGGGAGACAAACCATTCATTTTCAAGTTGTTATCAGAAGACGCCTCCAATTACCCCGATGCACCAACCGAGGCAGTCCGAAGAGTCTTAGAGAAGTACACGGGAAGGACGATCCCCGTTGATGAGAAGCTCGATGCTTCAAGAATAGGTAAGCTTAGCAACTACGGTGCTTTCTTTCTCGGGACTCATAGAGATCATAGCATCATGCCGTATCGGGACCACGGTTGCAACAAATGCCCTCCTGACGGGGAATGGTGAAAGGTTTGCTTTTGCAACGACAAAAGGCTTTAAAGACGTCTGTGTTATTGGTGACCAGTCTCGTCCTGAACTGTTCAACCTGGAGATCCGCAAACCGGCCGCCCTGCACTCTACTGTTGTGGAGATTGATGAGAGAATCACCATGGAAGACTACGATCTGAACCCTCACAAGAAAGCAACAGTCAACACAGAGGGCGATCCGGACTTGGTCAGAACTCCAAGCGGTGAAGTCATTCGAATTCTCAAGA